GTGGGTTGTTTTGGTGAACCTGTTTGCTCTTTTCCTGTGTGACCTTTCAGTTACTATGGTAAACCCATCCCATAATAGTTTGTGGTTTTTTGCTTTAAAAGGCCGGTGCTTGCCAGCAGTAAACGTCGCCTTGATCAGACTCTTGTCTTGGCGTCCTTCCTTTCTCTCTGCCCCATCTCCACCCCGCTGCTCTTTCAGGTTTGAGGCACTGCTGGACAGTGCTCTGCGTCGCCGGCTCGCGACAGTAGACCAGGCTGACCTCCAACTTACAGGAATCCTCCTGCCTGTGCGTCTCAAGTGCTGGGACTGCAGGTGTGCACCACCACACCTGGCTTCAGCTCTGATTTTTAAACACAATAAACAAGGTACCAAAAAAAACAAAAAAATCCTTTTAAAGGATGCTAAACTACTTTCAACAAAATTGGCAAATGTGTTTTGTTCACTGCACTATACCGTAAAACTTTTTAAAAATACACTAAACATAGTAACATGGGGAGGGGGAAAGCGTGAATCTCCTAAAAATCGAGAAACTATGGACACTTCTCGGAACAGACCAAAGTTATCCCGCACAACTCCAGGGCGCACATCTTCGCTTTGTTCAATACAAGATTCCTGTTTAAGACTCCTGAGTTTTCCTCTGTGGCTGAATCGGTCTAGACGTTAGACCTGGTCCATTAGTAATAACTAATATAGGACACAAGTTTTAGTCTCAAGTTCAACAACCTGCGCCGGCCGCTGACACAAGCAAATTCCTGCACAACCCAATGGTCAGGCAGACAGTGGACGTTACCTTTTCAGCTATGCTGTACAGAACCTCGTCCATCTTCATGCAGGTGGGGTCCCAGTCGTGTCCGAACCGAATGACCACAACTCGGTCTTCCTCCGAGAGGATGGCCTGATCCACCTGCCAGCCGTTGTGGAGGTGCGGGAGCATGTACGACATCCTGGGGCCGGGCGGCTCCGCGGCAGAGCACCGCGCGCGAGTTGCCTGCGGGCGCGGGAAAGGACTCTGAGGCTGCTACCAAGCGCCCCGGGGCTGTCCCCACTCAGGTCCCCAGAGCCTCATCCCGCGTTCTCGGGGCCCCTGCTCACCCGGTCCCTACCTCGTCCGGTGTCGCCCAGTCCCCTTCACGCCCGAACCTCTCCTCAACACCGGTGCCTCTTTCTCCG